CCTCACCAGTGCCGAGTACAGGGGGACGATCGCCTTCCTACTCCTGCTGGCCACACTATGCCTAATACAAGTCAGGATGCTGTTGACTTTTTTGGCCACCTGGGCACACTGCTGACTCATATTCAGACACTTGTCAGTCAGTGCCCCCATCAGATACTTTACTGCCGGGCAGCTTTCCAGCCACTCATCCCCAAGACTATAGCGTTACATGGGGTTGTTGTGACCCAAGTGCAGGACCCAGCACTTGGCCTTGTTGAAGCTCATACAGTTAGCCTCAGCCCATTGATCCAACCTGTCCAAGTCCCTCTGTAGACCCTCCCTACCCTCAAGTAGATCAACACTCCCACCTAACTTGGTGTTGTCTGCAAACTTACTGAGGGAGCACTCTATCCCTTTGTCAAGATCATTGATAAATAAGTTAAACAGAAGTGGCCCTAGTACTGACCCCTGAGGAATACCACTTGTGACTGGCCACCAGCTGGATTTAACTCCACTGATCACCACTCTCTGGGCCCGGCCGTCCAGCCATTGTTTTACCCAGCAGAGCGTACGCTCATCCAAGCCATGAGCAGCCAGTATCTTCACTAGAATTCTGTGGGAAACCGTGTTGAAGGCTTTATGGAGGTTGAGGTAAACAAAATCCACAGCCTTTCCCTCATTCATCAGGTGGGTCTTGTCATAGAAGGAGATAATGTGTGTACACACACATGTTGGGGAAGTGCTGAGGAAAAAGTCCAACAGAAACTCTAGAAGAGTCTTGGAGACAAGTTACCACCCTGTTGTCACAGCCTTCAATGCTGGTTTTAATCCTAATAGGTTATAAAGCTTCATAACTCTATTATTTATATATTCTAATAAGATTATTCAGTCAAGCACCAGTTCTACAACTGACTAGTTCACTCTTGCAGCTAAAGCTTAACCTCCTGTACTCCAATTGTAAATGCAAATCTACTATAATGCTGATGTTTAAAGCTGTGGTTGAGGATTACCAGCCATGAGTCCCCTCTGTATTAAAGCTGCATTCTCATAGTGTAATATAATAACATGCTGATTGCTTGTGTGCTTACCTGCTCACTGAGTTTGGATGCTCCAGCCACGATAAGGACAATTATGTTACCGACAGCCACCGTCAGCAGCCATCCTGCCTGCAGCACTGCCTTCATATTAGATGGGGCCTACAGAAGTAGGACACTTAAGTTTTAGTCAAACACTGCTATCACTTATTTTCTGGTATTTGCTGCATTTTTTACATTATAACACTGGTTCTCTGAAAGGAGGAGGATTTCTTGGGTTTGGCTTTTTTTTTTTAATTAAAAATTGCTAAACAGGCCTGGAGAAGGCTTTGATGAGAAAAAGATTACTAGTACTGATTATAACACCTTTTACTTTATACACATTGAGTAACTAAACAGGCACATTTTACATCTCAGTCACGCATGGTAAGCATTAAATAAAGACATTGAGTGCGTCTTAGTCTAACAAGTCACATCTCAGAACATTCCCATCACCGCAGTTTATAGAGTCAGAATTAAGGGAAGAAATACACACAGCTAATACCGAACCGGAGTTAGAAGACAAAGGAGTTAAGAGTGTGTAATTAAACTGCTGGTAAACACCGCATAGAAGAAATTGGTGTGGAGGTAAGTTGTCAGAACTTGTTCATTTTATGTTTGAGGACTCTTTAGTATGGTTTTACAGCAGCAGTACAGTTCCACTTATTTTCAATGGAAAGTCACACGCTAGAAGGAGATTTGAGGACTGATGGTCAAGTCTTCAAGTGGTATAAAACAGCATCGCTTCATGGAAAACACTGAATGCCAGTGAAACAAGGCCAACTTGCACCAGCCTGTAGTCCTGCTAGGGAGCTCTGAAGGACATAATTTTTCAAACAAAGCAGCAATACAGAACCACCACTTAAAAACAATAGATCATAGATGATCTTCATTTGTACCAGGGTTCTTAACACAATGAAGAGCAAAACCTACCTGTGAGTATGAAAACTCCAGCCCAGTGACAGAGAAGACTACTTCAGCACATGTAAGAATAAAATACTGAGGGATCTGCCAAGCCATATGTACTGTATTGGGTGGGATATCTTCAGAGTATATTACATCAAGATCATATCCAGCACACTGGAAATTAAAATAGCACATTAGGAACAGTGATAGAGTGTCTATAGACTAAAGGGACTTTAAGAAGTTCTCTATATCATCTCTATAATAATATATATACACAAGGTTCTGGGTAAATAAGAAATATTGTATATGAAGCACTGCATACTTAGTTATAAAGTAATAGTTATTTTACAGCAGACTCCATGCAAATACTTAGTGTGTAATAGGCGCTAAAGATTTAAGGCCATTAGTGATGAACATTAATCCTTGCATTATGTCATTATCATGCCCATCATTACTTTTATAGTTAACAATGGTTTTATGTTCTGTTTAACATACCAGAACTCTATCATATATACAATTAAGGGCAAGAGGGATAATTCTACAAGAGGGGTTTTTTTTAATTAAAAAAAATATTGACATGAAAAGTAATTCGGTATTATCCATCCAACAGCACTGCTAACTCACCTTGTTAATTACAATTGTATAGGCACTGCCAAATCCAAATGTCTTTGAAGTAACTGAACAAGGGATGAAATCTATAATAGCTGTAATATTATCTTCTCTGAAAAAGAAAAAACACATTTCAGAACATAGGTATAGACAATTGTGTGTATTTGTATTACATAAAATGAGACAGTTCTATGTCCTTTTCCTAAGGACAAGTATGTTTAAGTGGTTAGATAAGGATAAAGGAAAATGCTTACCTTCCTCCTGCAAAAAGTCTGTAATTACTGGCAGAAAGAGGCATCAGAATTCCAAAAGAAGTACCGCCCATAGTGACGTTGACAGTATCAGGCAAATTGTTTATAAACCTTTAAAATGCAAGAGTGGTGAAATACTAAACAAAATATGTATAAGTCAAAGAATACAGATTTTACTTTTAATAATATCCTGGCAGCACAAGCATCAAGTCTTCCACTTTCATTTTTGTCAAACGAATTGTCAAAAAGCAAGCCTCTACTACAACCAGTAACAAGTGCATCTGCAAGTAGAAGACGTAGAAGAAAAGCAGAGAAGTAGTAGGATACTTCTTACCCAAGATTAAAAAGGAGTTATAGATGTGCAATCTGTGCTGGTGGTCCTCAAAAAAAGTCTAGATAACAGAGCAAAACATACACTTCCAATTTTAGCCAAATTATACCCAAAGTAGATATGGAAGACAGCTTAGATGAGTTGTGCCCCAGAAGTTCCTACAACCTCTAAACATAGAGTGAAGTGTCCAGCAAGTAGAGAGTTCCTACAGTATAGAAAGCTATGTTAAGCAAGAACAGTCCACCCAAGAGGCAGATTGGAGAGACAGTCACACTACTGCCAAAATTTAGGAGCAAAACAAACTCTACCTGATGAGATTATTTCCTTCTTCTGGTTTTGATGTGACATTGTCAAACAGCTGGTGGAAGAGACCATTATCAAGATACTTTGTTGGCATCAGCGAACAGCTCAAATGTGCATTATTACATAGCAGTGAGAATTAACAGAGGCTTCACAGCAAGACTCCAGACCTTCCCTTTTAGGATCCTACCAGGATATATGTCTACTAGAAAACGCTGTATGACCAGACATTTAAGTCTTGGTGAACGGGTAATTGTCAGGTTAAATACTAAGTTGGTAATTGTTTACATTTTTTTCAAAACAACATCCTGCCCTGCTCTCTGTAGCTCACCAGTCTCACTGGTACAGCAGAGAGGGGAGAGACAGAAAACAAAACAAAGTGAAAAGCTACCCAGAGCTTGTCTTCTCAGCTTCACACACTCCATGTAGACAACTGCTAAGAAGTTAATGTATATCTTGGGAATTAAGCAGACTTACCAATGTAGCAACAATGTCTGTCGCATTATTTTTAACTCCAAGAGTGTGACGGTCTCCCCCTGGCAACATGGTAACTTCAGTTGTAGTTTTATTTCCAGAAATTATGTTTATTGATTGCAACTGAGACGTCTCAAATGTCATGTAGCCTGTCTACAAAGAAAAATTAATTTCTATGAATTTCCATGTAACTGCATGTTTGTCTGCACCTTTGAGGGAGTGGTATGGACTCCCAGGGGGTCAGAAGTTTACATGTATGTTACTTCTGAAGTGCCAGAGATCATAAGCATCTCCTAACTTCCATTTTTGCTAAATTTTATACATCAAGCACTAATTTAATTTGATTTTTTTAAAATTAATTTCTTCCATTACACAAGCTTTAAAGTAACATGAGTTCCCCACAAGCATTTTGGAATAGCTGTTAGATTTTCCTGTGTATTTCTTGCTCCAGATAAATCAGGCTTACTACCACCACCAAGTAAAATTCTGTTTAGCTACAAAGGCAGCACTAGCATAAGTTCAGATGCAGCATTTTCTAAATAGCAACGCTTCCTAAGAGATGCAAATGCAAGCTGCATCTTTATGGTTTCAGCATAACGGGACTATTGCCAGGGTATGTTTTAAATATTCTAAACACATTTTGTCATCATAACATACTTCAAATATTAATAAACATGTTTATGTGGTACTGAATAACCCTTTTGTTTTACAGGGTTATAAAAAGCATTTTATAATCCAAAACATCTGGATTATAAAACGTCTATATTAGGAAATTGAGCATTTTATGCCCTTCATTTTCAGGTATCTACCATAGTTGTATCAATTCCACATCAGCATATAATTTAGGTGCCATTAGATTCTCCTTACAGCTCAGTTTCCATGTGAGGCAAATTTGGAGGAGGATGGAATAGTGTTTCTCCTCTTACATGGAAACAGGACTGCAGGCTATTAGAGAACACACTTACTAATAACCGTTATTAAAAATGTCCATCAGCTTCACCACATCTTGCTGCCAATAAGGCTTTCAAGGTTGTGCTATAATAGAACCTGAAAAGGTTCTTTGACAGAAAAATCTGAAGCTAAATATGTGATGTAGCCACAGAAAAAGCTCCCTGTTCAAGTAAGTGATCACTCACAGAGTAGCAAGTTACTAGAGCTGAATGGACTTCTATTGAAGGAAGGGGTGTTCTTGCTGTTAAGAAATGGCACCATTTTAGCAAAAGAAACTAATCAAAAATTTCAAAAATCACTATTGAGTTTCTTAAAAAAAACCCTCTTGCCAAAACTGACTAATACTTCTCCGAATATGGAAATAGTTACCATTTTCTTCGTTCACTGTGTCTTCAGTAACAATTCATTCCACAATACAAAAACAAACAACCAAACTATTTAAAATTAATAGAGGGAAAAAAAAAAAAAAGAAGAGACTCCATTTTGAGCGATGAGTTCAGGACCACTTTGATTTACTCCATTAGATGTTGGGCTTTTTTAGCTTGCTATTCCCCATCTCCCCTTACTTACCGACTCCATAGATGTTACAGTCACATTCTGAAGTTGAGGTTCAAACTGAACTGTTGTATTATCAGTACCTAGATTTATTATTTTGATTTGAGATTGCCCAGCTGCAGGGAAAACTGGAAGAGTTTTCTGTAGGACAGAAAAAAGTAAAATCAGTGCCCTGTTCCAAGTCACATGGAAAAAGTACTGTAGCTACTGTGATCTGAATTATCTCATGATGATTAGCATTTGCCTGATGATCTGTGATTGTCAGAGGGATGCAACTTTAATGAGAGGTTTCGTCACTAGTCTCACAAGCTGCCTTACTACTACCTCAGGAAAGAGGTCTCATCCACAACTATGCCTCTGTGGCCAGATGTGGTTCCTCTTTGATCACACTCTGCATGGACCAAGACCACTCTGCAGTTCAAGGAATGGGCTTTTCCCACATCCTATGGCTGCCTGGGTTCCTGAGTTTCTTTGTACCATGTTCTAACTCATTCTCCCCCAGCACTGGTGCTGCTGAACTGGACAGAAGCATGTATGGGCACTGCCTAGAGTGACAGGCCAGAGAAACTGAACTTCTGGATCCCACTTCCCACCAGATCTAACAACAAATAGCTTCTGCTCTTGCAGAGCATCAGGAGACAAGAATCGTATTTATTTCAGTTGTTTCAACCTTTCCTCCCTTCCCATACTTTTGTCCACTTCAATCTGTTTAGGTACATCACAATAAAAACACATCTATCTTTACCTTTCTGCAGGAGATTCCTGTGCAACAGTCTGGCAAGTTACCAGCTTTGATGAAGCTTCTGCCCAATGCCAGTACGTGTGTGTGCACACCGCTCTGGCCTTCTGAACAGGACGTTCAAGAAGATAGCCTGAATGTGTCTACATCAGCTGAAGGCCAGACCCTTTACTTCCAACTTCAAGAGGCAGAGCTGAATACAAATCTTGTTTCACTGCTGGACCCAGGCATTAAGGAGAAAATTCCTCATTCCTAACTAAAGCTATTTAAGAGTTCCACATCTTGCCTTGATACTGCATGAAGACAGGCAGGCACCTCTGGATACATATTCAGATCTTAGGATGCAATGGATCACCTCTCAGAGGTGTTGCTGACACCCCAGCTACAGGGGGGGAACCTTTACCTGGTTTAGGCATGACACCTCCCTTTGGGGCAAGGAAAATTAGGGTGTGATAAATCCCATCTTCAACAGACATAATCTTTGCCCATGCTTCTCAAACTGTTACACTTCACCTCCAGTCTAAATATCAGAAGAGATCAGAGACACAAAGGCAGCCCTCAGGTAGGCCAAACAAATCTCTAAATTGAGACTAAAAGCTGAAAACCAAAGACCTGAGGTTGCCTTTAATGTGTGACTTAAGTTAATGGCAGATAAGATGTTTTGCAGGATAGTGTTCACAGCTAGTTAATTTTATTATGCTAATCACAGTATTGCAATATACTTTAATATTTTTCCTCCCTCTACCTCCTGTGCTCATATGCTTGGTTCAGAGTTTAGAAGTCTTGGCTCATTTTCCCCTTAAACACACTTTAATCTCTACTAACAACTAAATATTAATAGGAAATACTTGCATGTGGCTGAACTTACATCTATTTGCACTTGCACAAGGGCAGCAGCAACAAAAGCCAAAGATGCAAGGAACATACCAACAGTGATCTTCCTCAGGGGCCTAGAACAATGACAAAACACGTACGTGTCAATATTAATTCAAAGCTTCAGCTGTTAGGTTTTTTTCTTTCCATGGTGGGAAACTAAAATGGCCACAAGCAGCACTACCACCGTTTAAAGGGCTGAAGTTGTTACAGAAAGTAACCTGCTAAGCTGTGTACCTCTCGATTCATAGTTGTACTACTGGGAAATACAGCTTTCCTGCAGAATCTTAATAACTTGTTACTCTGCATCTGCTGGGCTCAAACGTTGACTGAACATAATTATTACATTTCTGGAAAAGTCTGATCAGCAAGAAGGAAAACCCCACAATAATCCAGTATGGTTGTTAGCTTTAAAAAAAAACCCAAAAGACAAGAAGTTATGCCTGCTAAAAAAGGTAACAACTTGCGTCTGTACTGATATGTTTAAATCAAAATATTGAATAAAAAGCGTCAGGGAAATATGCTGAATTAGGAGACATCTACTGGCATTCAGGTAAGCTGTAAGGATAAATTTTAGGTATTTAATTTATGGCATCATTTGTCAGATATAGACTGTCTACAAATGAACAACACTGTTTCCAGCACAGCACACACCCTCAGTTTTTCATAACTAGATGGAAAAAAAGCATTGCATCTTAGCCCTATAAAAATTGGTTTAAGAAATATATTATTTTCTACCTTTCCAACTTGCAAGTGTTAGACACTCTATTACCAACATTAAAAATAATGTGCAATGTCCTATGAAGCTACACCTAGAAGTATCCAGTGAGCCAGACTCCTCACTGGGACTGAAGAGGGAACATCATGTCTCAGGTAGTTTTAAGCCCAAAACATGACGCATGCTAAGGACGTATGTTGTATTTTTATTATTCTATATTCTATTCGTACTTTGGGAAGGAGAGGGTGTAGACATGTTGGGCAGTGGAAAACTGTAAACAGCATCTCTCCTGCAACCAAAAGATTTTACTCTTAACTCAAAAATATTATTAGATTCTCTTCCTCTTGTCTGTGGTGCCTGTACAGACCACTTGCAGTATTCTGTATTTTTTTTTATTTTTATTTCTTTAAATTAACAACTCCATTTTAAATACACTGCTGTTTTCTCCTTAGCTGGACACTTGCTCTTGTTACATTAGGGCTAGAAGAGCAGTTTAAAGAAACCACTAAAATGAAGTCAGGTAAGTATATCAACTTACGTAAAATTGATCTTGCATTTCTTGATTAAAGGATAAACCACCGCATCTACAACTGGGACCATTACAATAATCAGAATTGGATTCACAGTCTGTTGAAGGTGAACATAAGAAGGAAAAAAAATTATTTTTCAAAGGCCTTTTTTTAATGGAGGGCAATTAAAAAAAAAATCTTTGGGAAGTACTTAGAATTGGCAGACATTACTGTAGAAGATTACCGTACCTGCATTTGGTCTGGCTGAATCTTAATGGCTCCCTGGTAAAGAAAAAATAAATAGGTTAATATTATGTCAACAAACAAAACTGATCTGAAAAGTAAATGTTAATTAAGAAAAAAAAAGGCAATAAAATGTAACCTACAAAATTCCCATCCATTGTTGTGGCTTGCAGTGTCCATCTTGACCCCTTAACAAAAGAAGAGAAAGTTAAATGCCACATCAAATCAATCTTCCAAAATTACTTTTGAATTGTTCTCTTAAGTAAAGCACTGGGAAATACAATACAATAAAAATACACAGAATACAATAAAAGAGCTAGCTACAGGAGTATTCTTACTTTGCTATGTAAATATTTGAACAAAGTGATCCCTGTGGCCCATTTCACTTTATTTACTAGTTTTGTAAAATAGAGTGGAAAATTTACGCGCAGAGATTAGCTGGAGAGATGGCAGGGACATCCTGTGCAGAGCACTGCTGCCTGCTGTGCACGGAAACCACCCAAGTGCCTTTGTGCCACCTGCCTGAGCCTGAGCCCCTCCCAATCACTGACATGTCCATCCTTCCTTCTCACAGCCCAGCAGCGAGCAGCCAAGCTAGGGCTGGATCTGCCTTGAGCCCTCTGCCCAGAAAACCTGTCAAGTGTTCCTGTCTCAGCCTGAGCCCAGGGTGAGACAGGAACATGCATTGCTGCATCTGTGGTGAGATCCTTTAACCACCCGCAATGTACCACCGTCCAAGTACAAGTTATTACTCGTGTAGCAAGTATTTAGTTCTGAATTTTACAGCAGGCTTGCTTATTTGTAACAGGCCACACTGATACAGCTCACTAGTACTAGACTAAAGCAGCACAATCTAGGCAATCTGGACCAAACGTCCTACAGTCTGCCTTGGATAAAGCTGTCAGCCCCTGGTTCTCTCAGACACCCTCCTAAATTCATACTTCAATACTTAACTATGAAAGCCTGCTTTCATGAGTCCTGAGCACTCAGACCACCAAATGAATGGGAGTTATAGGCTTATACTTCTGCTTGAAGGTGTGAGGTATTTATAACACGTTTGAGGGATTAAGCATTTCATTCCTGATTCTCCAGAGCATTTACACTAGGTCCCTACATGGCATCTTACAACTGACAGTAGAAGAAGCGTTAGAACTAAGAAAGCTTTAAATTACTGTTTTGTCATCTGAGTCCTGGCTGATCAAAGATTTAGAGAGGCCTCAGGCACTGAATCAGTCCTGGGCACGTCCAGGTAAACTGAGTTTCCCATGGCTGCAGAATATCCTGTACTATCATGACTCAGTAGCTACCCTTTTGCATTAGAACCATGTTAAAGCACTTGCAAATAATATTTTTCCACCCTCCCATAGGCACCTTCTATGTCTTATGACCTCAAAGTACATAGAGTGACATGGTACAGCTCTAATTGCCAAGCCAAACAATTTCTACTTTACCTGCTGGTCAAAAAGTGCCCAGAACATGGGGAGAGGGATGTAAAGAAAAAGCACCTTCAACACCATCTTAGTCTGAGCAATCAGTTGTTTCTGCAGCAAAGAAGAATAACACAAGAGGTATTGGTAAAAAAAAAACCAACAAAACAAACACAAAACCAGCCAGCTGCAGACTGCTATTTGCAGCACAGCAATAGGTAAAGACACAGCATAATGTTTACCTACGTCCTAAACTTTGTATGTTGTGGGTACTTCTGCTGATTTCCGTTAAAAAGCCCAAGGTCTGCTTGCGGGTGTGGCAAGGGCTGCCGGTTAAAGGCAACACTGATATCAGAGACCTGGGCCTCTTGGCATGTATACTGATGGCAGCATGAGATTTAGCACTTAGTGCTGTGTTATTTTTCTAGGAAGGAGGCGTTTGAACAATGGGTGGCTGAGGAATGCATTTCACATGTGAAAAAATGCATATAGGCAAAAAGAAAATTAAGGGGACAGGCTAAGGTTTCTGCTGCCGTTGACAACAAGGCAGGGTAGATGGGAGGCAAAGGGCATGGTTGGGCACTGTGGGACACAAGGCTTTGAGAGTCACGGTAAGGAGCTTGTACTGAGGCTGGGGGG